AAGACAAAATCCGAGTTAGACCTGAATGACAGGAAAGAAAATCACAAAAAGTAAGAACTACTTCGTACCTAGGTTCCCAAACCTAGTGGGAACGTCAAAGAAGGAACGACCTGACTCGTCCTTTGCAAGCCATTCCCCAGAAGCGTAGAACCACTTCCTCACCCATCCCTTGATGGAGGTCGGCCCCTTAACTATACCGCCTGCGCCTTTCCTTGCGCACATATAGAACCGACCAGGCTTCTTAGCTATCCTTTTCGCTTCGAAGCACGCSAGGAGCTGGTCTACGTCCAACAGCTCGGCCTCTTCACTATCCTGAGCTCGTAGCCAAAAAAGGATGGCCAAAGCGAAAATGACACCCCACCCATTGGGGGCCACTTGAGCCGGAGCCAACCCAGTCCGGAAGAGAAATTCTTGGACAAAAGGGTGAAGGGGAAGCCGGAGGCCGTACTCAAACATTTTGAAGTAGAGAGTGACCCATCCCTCTGGARGATTGTCAGCTCTCTCCCCCTCCTCCGGAATCCTAAAGAGGATGTTCTCCGGGATAGCGAACCCCCTACGAAGGGATCCGAGGTAGTGCTCAGGTATCCTAGAAGGGTATTCCAAACCCTGACCCGAGGTGGAGGCATCACTATCCTCCCCGTCATCGGAGAACCTAAAGTTTTCTATCTCCTCGAGCTCGGACCCTAACCTACGAGCTAAATTCTCATCGGATCCTAAGTTGCTGCTAAAAGAGGACGACATGGCAACTACATTCGAAAGAGAAAGTGAGGGAAGAGACCGACCTACCAAGGGTTCGAGCTGCCTTCAGATCGAACTCCAAGAATTCAGGAAACGTAAGGTATGACCTGAAGGGTTGGGGGTATTTATAGCTCGTCGGAAAAATTTCCCCACCGTACACGTGTAATCAACGAGCGGCTAGGATCCTCCCGGAGATCCGAAGCGTCGGAATATTTGAATATTCYGATGATAAATCCACCGCAACGGTTATGTTTTCCCACGAATAGGGAATCGCCACGTGTCCGAAGCAAATCAAACGAACTTCTCTGCCAGGTCGAGATCGGACCAGACAGAGAGGGGGCCAATGTTTGGGGGAAAGAATACCCTGGACACGTGGAGGACAGCCATTGGTGCGCCAAGGTGACCATGAGTCATGCCCTAGCTCGGACCGCCGAGATCACCACCACTAGCGTTGACAGATACTAAGTATGAGGGTCGAGGTGAACCTGGCCGAGGTCCGACCTACCGGGAAGCTCGGTGGGGGCCGATGTGAGCTACTGTCGGCGGCGTGATTATCGGGTGTAACCGTCGGTCCCGAGATTATCGGGTGTAACCAACGGTCCCGAGATTACCAGGTGTAACCGTCGCGAGATTAGCGGGACTACCACCCATAAGTAGAGGATCTCACTCCGCGATCAGGTACAATGATTTCTGACCTCGAACTAAACTGGGAATCCGACCTATACTGACTTGATCGTCGGAGTGCTCACCTTTTTGTGCAGGTCCGCCCAAGTATTCAGATCGGTCCGGAGGCCGAGTTCGAGCTGCAATCTGAAATACACTGTTGTGCATATCCTTGCATAAACACACGTCTTTAAGTTTGCGTCGATCTCACACCTAAGCACCAAAAACATAAAAATATAGCAATTTAAATGTACTGTTCAGCCTTCGAAAAACGACTCTACGAGGGTTCAAAGGGCTCATTACCGYAAAACGACTTCGTGTAGGTGTGGGTAAATTAGATCAAGCTTGCAAAGGTGTGGGTAGCGTAAATCGGGCTTCGAACGGATGAAGATAATCGCCGAACACCACCAAAACACTGCTGTCCACGTTTTTGCAGCAGCGAAAAGTGCCCAAAACGACCTCCAACGGCTCCATTTTGATGTCCGTTACTACAAAACAACTTCGCTTAGGTGTGGGTATTCCAAATCGATTTCGTTTGGATGTGGGTAATCCAAATCTAACTCAAACAAATGTGGGTCAAAGAAAAGTTACCGGGTTTCATGGATCTAAGCTATTCGAGGTTGTTAGGCTCGTTAGATCGGAGAAGGGACGCCGCGAAAACAGCCTCACGTGTATCGATGCCGCCTGCAGCAGCCCGAACGTCA